CCCACCCACACAGCTCAACGAACGCACCCTATTGACCACTCACCAGAGAGAGACTTCGAGTTGCAGCGTCATGTTGACGAGGATGGGTGAGAGAGTTTGATGCGATGGATTGCGCTGTAGTACCTCGGGTTGCGATGCGATGCTCACCGCAAGAGGACGCAAAACTTTAGGTTACGGAAAGCGTTCACGTATCCTCGCGACATGATGCGTTTATTGTCCACTGAGGCATCTTAGCCTTGGCAGATAAATCGTTCCACTATTCCTGACAAGTGGCATTCTTGCACAAGACGCAAAACATTGCCTTATAATCCGGAAACGATTTCCACGCACCTCGAGGCCGCACTGACCAGGCCCTCCGTGGCGGCTGATTCTGGCATCTCTTGTCATGGATTGACGGTCTTATTCTTCATGCGCTCGGCTCTATTAAGGCGTATCGTACTCTTGCTGATGTCCTGATCTCTCATGTATCATGCCCAATTTTCAATCATCAAGATGGCGGAGGTATCCTAAAATTGACTTTCACTACCGCAGAGTGACTGATACTTGCTTGCTCCATTCTGTTCGATCTGATGCACCGTAGCCCTCGCAGCCGTGTTCCATTCATAATGATTGATGACGGAAGATCGCACTTCACGATAGATATGACATTGAAATGCCCACCGATCATGCTGCTGAAGCCAGGCTGATACTGGCAAGTCCTTTCAAGGCAGCCCATTGCTCTGCGCATCAAGACAATATCGATATCCGAGCGCAGCACCTATGTACTGCTGTTCTAAATGTTGAAACCCGTAGCCCCCAAGCAATCCTGTTACAACCCGCCCAATACCGTTCGGATCCTACCCTGAACCCTATACAATTTTTTTTATCCCGAGATCATTCCCAAACTGTCCGCCCCGCGTTCGAACCCGCAAGGGCCTTGGCGACCAAACACTGTCGCCTCACTGCGTGCCCAAACTCTGTCCAGAAGAATGTTGTAGCCACTGGCAAGTTGAGTGGCATTCAGATTGGCCATTGGATCCGCCTCATCGCTGAGGGAGTCGAAGCCGTAGGTAAAGGCGAAGCTTGCGTCCGTATCGTCGAGGGTACCGCTGTCGGCGATGCCGTTGGTGCTCAGTGCACCGTCGAACTCCATCGCATGCGTAATAGCATTGGGGAGAACAAGGCGAGAATCATCGCCCTCGCAACCCTCCGTCCGTGCCCTTTCGCCACCGCCGCCGCAACCACCCCCGTTACGGCTGAGCTGCACAGACGAGAAGCCGTCATCTGGCATGAGGTACTGCGGAGACGCGTATCGATGAGTAGGCGCAACGCAGGGAGCCGGACTGGCCTGCACCAGAGCCACCGACGCAGTTGGGCTGGTCCCTGCAGTCGAGACCGAGGCTGACGCTGATGTCGAAGTCGCAGTCGATCCATTGCAAGGACTCAACGCAGGGAGACTGCGTCTCCTTCTGGTCATAGACGCAGAGGCCTTGATCCTTCTGGAGCCCTTTCCTTGCTCGCTGGTCGTGGAAGCAGCAAGTGCAAGTGCAGGAGGAGCTTTGCCACAAGGGCGGCCGATCTTCTGGCGCTTGCATGTTGAGCCTCGGAGCTCTGCAGGAGCTGACGCGTCGATCACAGCCACTGTGTTGTCCTGTCCAGAGTGCGAGCGAGCGGGCCGATCCGACAATGGCGGCGCAGCAGCTGGTGCGTTAGCGAGCTGACCGTGTGGCATGGACGATGAGGCGGCGGATGTAACGCGGACCTGCTCGCTCGTGGCAGCCAGCGTTGCAACGTGTACATTCGCAAGACAATGCGAAGGGTCAAGCTGGGCGAACTGTACGCGGCGGATACGCTCAAGCAGAGCAGCCTAGCGCCAGAAGTCATCACCGAGCAGGGCAAGGAAGTCGCAAGATGATCAGCATTCGGTCTCGAGGAAGGGAAACACACCTAGCTGGCAACGTTGACCAACCTTCTCTTCCGTCGTCAAGCTGCCCACATTGCGGTCTCCCATTTGCAGCTGCTGCATGCAATGCGCAACAAGTGACCTGCTGTTGCGCAACGCGAGCGCATTGTTGACCACGGGACCTGCCGAGCCTGAGTGCTTCGTCTGGTCCTGATGCTGACTCTGCTGGTGATTCTGCTGGTCCTGCGAGTCATTGATGAACGGATGTCCTTGATTGCTACGGTCGTGTTCGTTGTTCATTGTACACGGATCACGGTCATGGTACTGCCGTTGAAATTCGCGATGCTGTTGCTGTGTCAAAGTGTGAAACGGGTCAGGTCCACGTGAAGATCTGTGCTGATCGAGCGGCCGAGTGTGTGGTGGGCTTTGGAGTCGTGCATACTGGTGCGATTGAGGCTGCGAGTGCAAAGTTTGAGGGTGTTGGAAGTCTGAAATCAAAGTCAAACAGGTGGGGACGACCTGCTGAGGACTCTGTCGTGCAGCTTTCTGATTGAATACGGCATCAACCTGTGGGCTTGCCAATCTCTCCAGGTCTGACATCTCCGTCGATTGTTGCTTTTGCCAAGATTCCTGTATTCCGCTTCCGTCCCATTCCGGTTCGTTTTCCATGCGAGGCTGCAGGTGCGGCTGCGCATGCACCGATGGAGCTGCAACAAGTGGACAAGCGAGTGACGAATGAGCCTTGCCAGAGCCTTGACAATCGGAGTTGCTACTCTCGTCACTACCGTAGGGGATCGTCGAAGGGTCAGGAGAATAATCTTCCTTGCGCTTTCGAGTGTGACCATTCGAGCGGGGAGCAGGCGGATGCAATTGTTGTTGCCGTGGCGCCTCGGGCTGCGACGCCGGGAATCGTGGACCTGGTTGATGTTCCATTCGCGTGAATACAGGATGCGCAGCCGGTGGCGATACCTGCTGCGCAGTTTGAGGCGGCAGCAGAAGTGTTATCGGTGCAAGCTGGGTAGTCGCCAGCTTGCCAGCCTGGCGTTGGCGTTGGCGCTGACGTTGACGCTGCACATTCAAATCGCTGTGTAACAACTCAACAGTGGCTGCAACGGCAGTTTCACTGTCCCTTACGTTCTGAGAACCCGCGTGACACTCCTTACGCTGTGCCTCGTTCGGCGACGGCTGCGCCGAGTCGCTTACGTTTGCATTGGCGCTATGGCGCCAGCTTGCAACGTGTTCAAACGCTGTCAAGTCATTGTTTTGCGTGGTGAAGACGTCCCAAAAGGCAGACCATGCCTCGTAAAGAGCTCCATGCGACGCATAGGCTGGCTCGTTGTCCCGGACAGAGATGCCCATATTCCGCGCAGTTGCTGTAAAGGAGCACCCTGCTGGCACACCAGCCTCCCTGCAGATTGCCCGAGCTGCTTCTTTGAAGCCACGCTGCAAGCAGTAATCACGCATGCAGAGATGCAGCCTGTGAGCGGTGTGTGGCGTGCAGGAGAGGCGCGAACAAACAAAACAGCCAAGATCAGTACACTAGCGCCCGGGAGATCTAGTCTAGCCGCAAACAGCTCTGACTGACATTTGGTCACTGCCCTGACCCTTGCCGCACGGGCTGTTGCAAGCCGCAGTTTTGGTCGCCATCCCGGACGTTGCTGCACGCCTGGTGCTGCGGCTGTGGCAATGGACTGACGAACGATGCGTCGATCGGGTCGTCGAAGAGGCCTTTCCACTCCACTTGGTCATTGCACCTTGAATGTCGACTCCAGCGAGTGATGTTAAAACTACCAATGCGTTTACCGCTGATGGCGAAGGGTTTCCGTGTAATGGTTAGCGAAGAAGAAGGAGGAGCGGAGAACCAGGGAGAGTAGATGAAAGGCTGCAGCGCAAGTAAGCAAACGGACTAAAATACACCACCCATGAGCTCATGGTGCACCGCACGGTCGTGCTATCTCTCCCTCTCGGCTCTCCCGCTTTCTCTCCCCATCCTATTTCTTTTGTTGATTCCATGGAATCCGATGTGGATGTATTTAGCCGGTAGCGCCTTGAAACCAAGCTGCTCGGCGCCGGGCATGCCGAGTGCTATGCCCTCCGGTAGCGAGAGGCGCTTGGCTGTGGGGGAGGTGGGGCGGGTCACGATGAGTGCCCCACTGCTGCGCACATACTATTATCTGCACTAGCACATGTTCCTGCCCAGACTGAGCACGGCTTTAATGTGGACGATGGACCAGAGCAGCCAAGAACATACAGGCTGCATCTGCATAGACTAGCGCCAATCAAAACCGCTGACGCCGAAATTCCCGAAGGGGTATTGCCTATAGTGTTAACCGTCCTCATTCCATGTTTGGAACAATTAAACGCACTCGGCACTCCTCTTCGATCTGCAGGTTACCTGCCCTCTTCCCCTGTTCCCATACCTGTGCATCCACCACATACGTTGCATGTGTATGTGTGCTTAATATATCCCAGGCTTTCTATCCTCGGTCTATCATACGCGGTCACCGCCGTTGAGGCAGTGTCGAGGCTATCAGCGTCAGCACATCAACCTGCGTCCAGGCGTTGGCGCGTCAGCCTAGGTAGTGGGTCTGCCCTGGCTTGCCTTGGGCCCTAGGGGCGGGGGCGGATCATCACAATTGTATGCTTCAGCATAGGTGAGCCTGCCTCGAAAGGCCAGTCAAGCGAAGGCCCTAAACTGCCCCGCAATACCATGCAAGATGAACGCATGACTTCTGCTCATCGTCCGATACGTATCGTATACAGGTGTATGTGGCACACATAATACTATGTCGAGTGTAACATGATGTATGGTGCGGATGTCGCAGGATGCACATAGCTCGCCTGGGGTACCAGCAGTGAGCAGCGCTTCAAAATCAAAGTGTAAGGGCAGAGCCAGTTACTCATTTGACTAAGGTACCGTACTATGTGTATTCCGTGGCAGGTCGTGGCTTGGCAGTGGCAGGGTGATGGTGAGGAGTTGTCGAGACTCGAAGGCGACGAGAGGTCGCCGTGCCACCACTGGCTGAGTCCTATTCAGGCAAACCTGAATCAACCCGACCACATCGACAACAAAGTCTGAAACCAACTGGGCAGATTTATCATCTTGGAACCCCCGCAAAGGGGGCAGAAGGAACCATGGCCTCTAGGGGCAGCCAGAGGCCCTCGATAGTGAGCTGATGTGACAGAGCTGTCACAGGCGCTAGCGTCGCCAACAACTACAAGACACCCGGGTCATCGGTGACCCATGAGCGCGTTAGGCGTAAACCCAATCGGGTGTTGTGATATGAATCTCGATCCCCGGGTCAGGTACAGGAGAAGGCCAAAGAAGGGTAGACAACGAAAATGCACCGACCGTTCATTGAAGAAAACTTCCCGCTTACTAGGCAAAACTTTGAAGCCAAAGGCGTGATTGGAAATGGGACCAGCAAGCAAGCATACATATTCTTTCTTATCAGCTATCGGGGTATTCAGCGCGCCAGCGTCAATATCTCCCGCATTCATGCGTGAACTGTTGAAGAAACACAGTTCACACCATTGCATTTCCTCGTCGGCTCTTCTTTAAATGAGACACTTTCAAATTCCAGACGATCATCACTTCCCGGTTCCTACGGCTTCCGCAACCCTAACTGCACCTGTAGCCTGTTAGCTTTGCACAGGCGAGTATGCTGAATTCAGAGGCTATAGGCCAGTATATTTTGAGTGAGGGCATGTAAAGGCCAGTCACGTGGCGAGCGGCTATGGCTCCATTCGTGGGTTATACCCGGGTTTGAGATCTGACAGGTTTGTACCACACATAAAAACACGAAAATTGGATAATCTTGAGTATGTAGGCATGTAAGTATGCATGTGTATATGCATGTACTTTTGAGTTTTGACAGCTGAATTTAGGTTTCTTGCACATTGCTTCCCGACCATTCCCGGTAGGCGTTGTGCATTTGTGGGGATACATGGGCGGAGCTGCGAGGCAGATCAACGAACCGTTCCGCTATCAGAACATAGTCACTCACCACACACCACCAATTTAACTTTCACAAGTTTCCTTCATTTTCATCAATCTGTACACCTTGCAAGCCTTCAGTAGACCATGGACATCTGCTGTTTTGCAAGATGAATCCATTCGTGTATTTTCCCAGGAGAGACTTCAGTAAGCTAAGGTCGCCTGCTGTTGCGCACGGTATCGTGTTCAACGTTACATGTACTTATGTGCAGTTGTGCTCCGTACATATCTTACGTAGTATGCCTATGTTCGTCACTGGAAAAGAAAGAAGTGTAAATTCAAGAATTGAGAGCCACGCGTCACGCGTCATGCGTGGGGTATGCAGTAATCAACAAGCAGCCAGCAAGGGAAACAACCCTACTTGAGCCAAGTGCAACTCAAACCCCCTAACCAAATAAAAAGAAAATGGCCTGCCTACTATGCCCTCCCTTTTCTGTCTCAATGCTGTCCCATGTGATGCGTTCTCTGTGTGTTGTCGTCCCACGCTGCTGGCGTCTGTTTCCTTTCGCCGATCATCGTCAGATCGCCGTCAGCTGATGATGGGCATCGCTAGCAACTCCAATCGAGGCCCATGTTCACAACTGGCACTACGTGCGCACATCTTCATCCCGCGCCCCAGGATGGACCGAGGGCGACACCGACCTGACCTAATCTGATCGACGATATCTGCAACGTCTTCTCCGAAAGCTGTATAGGTCGTCATCAGCAATATCTCTCAGGGAGGTCCAAAGGCCTTCAGAAGGTGCACTCAGCCACCGTCACGGGTGATCTCTAGGACACAATGTCTTCCTCCCGGGACGCCCAAAAACAGCACCACGCCGTTGCTGAAGACCGCTACCAGGCACCGTTTGCATGGGCGTCGCGCAAGCGGTCAGATTCGCAGGTAGTTACGGAGGATCCTCTTTCTGACGCTGAGCAGGACCATGCCCAAGCATCTGATGAGCCCCAAGCACCAGAGGCCACCTGCGACGAAGTTATGCCATCATCGCCCTACTTTGACGACAAAGAAGCAGCAGAGGCCGTCGCGTGGATAAGGTCGGGTGCTGCGCCAAAGGGGACTGGCACACCCGCCGACGACGAGCCCTCTGTCCCCTCGGACTACTTTCAAGATGGCGGATGCGAAGACGACGATAGTGCTGGTATCAGTATTATGGGAAAGAAACGTCGCGACAGTCAGGTCGGCAGCTACGATGGCGGAGGAAGCATTTTCGATGGGCCAAGTGCCGGAGCGATTCCTAGCAGCATGAGCTCGTGAGTGCACGATTGTCGTTCTCAGATAATGGGAACTCATTCAATGGTTGCTTCCGACCCCTTTTCAGCATGCGTCGCACCTACGCACGCCCCGAACTCTCGGCCCGCGCATCTTCCTCATTAGCGCGGCGCCGCATCTCGCGCGAATTTTCGAGGTCTCCATCAGCCCATCGGGGTGCCAGCGGGAGAGCCCGGAAGACATCCATAGACTCGGTCAATTCGCAGGCAGTGTCTATTGGTGCAAGCGACGGAATGGTGGACAATTTCGAGCCGGGCGATGCAGGGGACAACGAACATGCAGGCCCGTCATCTTTGAGGCGAGTCCGCACGAGTAGCTTCACGAGCAACCGGTCAAACCGATCTGCAGGTGGTATGTCCATGGGCTTCGGGCGCAAGCGGCGTGTAGAACCGCGCGACGAGTTCCACCACGGCTCGCACACGCAGTCTAAAGGCATCCTAGGCTCCATCATCTCCAGCCTTCGGGGTAGCGGGCACGACAATGCAGATGAGCAGGACGGCGGCGAGATGCCGAGCTTCGGAAGGAGAACCAGCATTTCTTCCAACCTCTCTCCAACCTCAAGACGCTCAGCCCGGAGCGGAAACGATGAACGCGACTCGGGAGAACGCTACTCAGACTCGGACTCGGACGGCTACGGGCTCACCATGGATGATGACGAAGACGACGACCTTGGGGTGCGATCCGCGTCATCCTCGGATGATGGTGATACGCGCGACGGAGGCCTGCTGCCGTCTGCTTTTGGGACACTGAGTGGCGCAGTCGACCCTGTCTTCGGAGACAGCCGGTACACGATCGAACACCTACCCGAGGACGATCTCGCAGAGCAGGCGCTTGAAGAAAATGCCAATGCAGCTGGCGGCTTCAGTGGATTTGGAGGAGGTACAAGTGGCATCCGTGGGCTTGGTCGAAGTGTGGGCGAAGCGGATGTCGAAGCATATGCTGCCGATCCACTACTGCAGGCAAAGGCGGATGAGGAAGCGGCACGGGCGAGGGAGAATTTGGCGTATCTCGATAAGTCATCTTGCAGCCGTCAGCAGGTCTACCTCGCCGAGGAAGATACGCTGATCCGCTTCACTGGATATCGAATCATCACGTCCCGTCGGCTCGCGTACATCACCTTATGCATCCTCACACTTGGCATCGTCTACCTCGTCATGCGATGGCTGCCGCGCCTACGTCTCAAGTGGCTGTGCAAGGAAGCGGAGTTCGCAATCGATGCGGATTTTGTCGTCGTGGAGAACCAGTGGGGCGACTTATTCGAGGCCAAGATCGAGACGGTGCCGTTCGCCAGGCCACTCGCGGCCGTCTTTCCGCATTGCACGAGCAAAGACCCCGCCTCGACGCAGGCAGAGTACCAGGCGCATGTCGCCTTGCACAGCCAAGTGACCAGCAAGAACGTATCGGCGGCTAGCAGCTTGCGCAAAGGCAAGGCTGGTGCAGGGCTTCCAATGAATACAGGCAGCGAAGCTGGCGCACTCGAGCATCACATCAATGCACTTTCTGGCGTCGAAGCTGAACAACTTATGGAACTTTCGTATCTGGAATACCGCTACACGCGCTTTGCGCTCCACCCTCCGACAGGCCGGTTCAGAATGATCAAGGATTGGCGGGACCCGACATGGACCTCCGTCTCTGCCGTCTCCTTGGGTGTTCCCTGGGACGGAGAGAAGGATCGCAAGACGCTTTTCGGCGCGAACGTCATCGACATCGCCGCAAAGTCGTCCTGGACCCTCCTCGTGGATGAGGTCCTGCATCCTTTCTACATGTTCCAAATTGTCAGCATCGTCCTATGGAGTTTCGACAACTATTACTACTACGCATTCTGCATCGCGCTCATCTCCATTGTCTCCATCCTGACGACGCTACTCGAGACGATGTCCACGATTCAGCGCATGCGGGAGATGAGCAGATTCTCGTGCGCAGTACGCGTACTCAGGGAGGGACAATGGATGGCTTGCGACAGTAGCCAGCTTGTCCCGGGAGACGTCTATGACGTTGCAGAATCAGGACTGCTCCTCTTTCCTGCGGACAGCGTGCTTCTCACCGGCGACGCGATCGTCAATGAAAGTAAGTGTGGGGCACGCACTTCGAGACCTGCGTCGGTGCTGCCGCTGACTTTGGCTCTGTTCTTCCACTTACAGGCATGCTCACCGGAGAAAGTGTCCCAGTTTCGAAGGTACCTATCACAGATTCCATGATGGCCAGCTTGCATAGGCCCGGCAGCGAGATCAGTGCGGACCTAGCCAAACATTTCCTATTTGGTGGCACCCGCATCATCCGTATCCGCGGCACCAACGGACTTGTGCCTGACACAAGCGAGTCTGGGGCGAAAGCGATGGTTGTGCGTACGGGCTTTGACACCACGAAGGGCGCACTCATCCGCAGCATGCTCTTCCCCAAACCCATGGGCTTCAAATTCTACCGCGACTCTTTCCGGTTTATTGGCTTTCTCGCTGGCATCGCCTGTATAGGCTTTCTCGTGAGCGCGGCCAACTTTGTTCAAATCGGGATCGCGTGGCACACCATTGTAGTGCGTGCGCTCGACCTTATCACCGTCGTCGTTCCACCTGCTCTCCCAGCGACAATGAGTGTCGGCACTGCATTTGCCATCCAGCGCCTGCGTAAGAATGGCATCTTCTGCATCTCACCGAACAGGGTCAACATTGGTGGCAAAGTCAACGTCTTCTGCTTCGACAAGACTGGTACGCTCACTGCGGATGGTCTCGACGTCTTGGGAACGCGCACAATCGATTTGCGTGGAAAGCGTTTCTCTGAATTACATGAGACGGTCGAAGAGATGCCAGTCAACACAGGTGCCCCCAAGGAAGACACGGATGCCCGGAAATTGCCGCTTTTGTATGCACTTGCGACGTGCCACAGCCTCAAGGTTGTCGATGGCGAGGTGATCGGAGACCCGCTCGATGTCAAGATGTTCGAGTACACCGGCTGGACGCTGGATGAGGGCAAGGACCGAATGGCCAAGGCCACCACAAAGACCGGAACAGCCAAGGATGGCAAGAGCCGACTGACCGACCGACCCCCTGCGCTCGTCCAGACGGTCGTCCGGCCGCCTGGTGGCCAGGCCTTCGAAATCGAAGACGCAATGAAGCCTGGCAAACATGCGCACTTTCTGGAGCGTGAGTGGGCGCGTTTGCGACATTCTATATATCATAACTGACCGATCTCCTCATGTTCTGTGTAGTGGGGGTTTTGCGAACGTTTGAATTCGTTTCACATCTCCGAAGAATGAGTGTCGTAGTCAAGCGCCTCAAATCCGAGTCTATGGAGGTCTTTGTCAAGGGTGCACCCGAGGTGATGACCGACATTTGCATTCCTGAGTCCTTCCCAGCCGACTATGACGACTTGCTGGCATACTACACGAAGCATGGTTACCGCGTCATTGCATGTGCCGGGAAGAGTATGCCCCGCATGAGCTGGATCAAGGCTCAGCGTCTGAGGAGAGAGCAAGCCGAGAGCGGGCTCAGGTTTCTCGGGCTGATCATCTTCGAAAACAAGATCAAGGAGGGTACGCCGCCGGCGATCGAGGCCCTGCGCGAAGCGAGTATCATCTGCAAGATGGTCACTGGTGATAACCCACGAACTGCGATCAGTGTCGCTAGGGAGTGCGGCATGGTGGGACAATCGGCTCAAGTGTTCATTCCCAACTTTCTGGAAGGCAACGCCAAGGACGCCCGCTCCACGCTGGAGTGGTTCAGCGTTGACGACGAGCGGATCAATCTGGACTCGCACTCTCTGAAGCCGATTGTGGTGGATCCGCACGTTTATGACTTTGAGGAGTTCGAGCTGCAGGACTACCAGCTGGCGTTAACCGGCGAGGTTTTCCGGTGGATGGTCGACTTTGCGCCAATCGACACGCTGCGGCGGATGCTGATCAAGGGCACGATCTTCGCGAGAATGTCGCCGGACGAGAAGCACGAACTAATCGAGCGGCTGCAGGCGCTCGGCTACACGGTTGGCATGTGCGGGGACGGCGCGAACGATTGCGGCGCGCTCAAGGCGGCGGACATTGGCATATCGCTCTCTGAGGCCGAGGCTTCGGTCGCTGCGCCGTTCACGTCACGCTCGCCGGACATATCGTGCGTGATCGAAGTGATCAAGGAAGGGCGCGCGGCGCTGGTGACGTCGTTCAGCTGCTTCAAGTACATGGCGCTATACTCGCTGATCCAGTTCACCAGCATCACGATCCTCTACAGCTTTGCGAGCAGCCTGGGTGATTTCCAGTTCCTGTACATCGACCTATTCATCATCCTCCCCGTCGCGGTGGCGATGGCGCGGACGCTTCCGTTCCCGCAGATTCACCCGAAGCGGCCGACGGCGAACCTAGTGTCCAAGAAGGTGCTCGTGTCCATGGTCGGGCAGGTGCTTATCTGCTCTGTCGCACAGCTGTTCGTGTTCTACTACGTGCGCAAGCAGCCATGGTACATGCCCGCGCCGATTGACCCGGACGAGCTGAACGTGGTGAACCCGGAGAACTCAGCGCTGTTCTTCGTGTCATCGTTCCAGTACATCCTCGTCGCGGCTGTGTTCAGCGTCGGAGCGCCGTACCGCAAGCCGATGTACACCAATCGTGAGCATAAGCCCACTTTCGCGTCGTTTTTTCCGCAAGCGTTGCTGACACTCGCTCCATTATCCCTGCATGGCAGCGATGCTGGTCATCTCGCTGACGGCATTGACCGCTTTCTCCCTGTACTGCCTCTTCTCGACGTCAGGCTATGTGTTCGACCTGCTGGGCCTAGTCACGTTCCCGCCTTCGTTCCACTGGTTGCTGTTTGGCGTCGTGCTGCTTAACACGGGCGTGTCGTTCGCGTTCGAGTCGTGGGCGATCCGCCCGACGATCCGCGCGCTCAAGGCGCTTCAGCGCGCTTACATGCGTGTCCGCTACGGCCGCGACGGCTGGCGCACACGGCACCGCAGCCATGATAGCAAGCTGTACAAGGCTGTCGCCGCTGGCATGGCCAGGGACGGCCAAGCGTGAGGCGGGCTGTGTGTACACGCATGACATACATACACGCATACATACACGTATACATACATAGATATATACATAAATAAATACATGCATTCGTAGGTATGCAGCGGTCTTCGGACTCCCCGCTTTCCGTTTTATTGAGAGCCTGGATGCAGAGAATGTCTGGCGGCGTTTCTGTGGACGCAGGTCGCCGGCGATCATTCCCTATTTCTATGTATTTACTGGAAGGCAGATGCAGCAACGCATCCAACCCCTATCATTCTCATCATCGAAGAAGCAGATGCATGCATTCAGGAAGTGGCCTTTTCTTTTGGCGACAGAGTCATGCGCGCGATCTCGCGCAATTCTCCAGTGTTGCGACAGCTTCGCCGGGTTGGCAAAGGCAGAAATTGCATGTATGTATGGTACATCGATCCAAGCCAAGCAAAATGCAGAAAACAAATCGACCCAGCTGTATTCTTGACATTCTTGATGATACATGTAACCTCACTCGTGGGCCGCGCAGAGCGCCGCGAGGCGGGAGGTTGCATGCCCAATCCATCGTTCCTCACGAGTCTCTTTGGGCGCTCTTAGCAGAGGGGAGATGGATGCGAGGTTGCGAAAGATTCGAGAGGCTGATCATGAGTGAGTGAGTATCAATCCCCCGACTACCCGAGCCGACGACGACGACCACAGAGAGCTAGGTCCAATCGATATAGAAGCTCGCAACGGAAGAGACAGTCGTCTGTCTATATGCGCTCCCAACTCCCTAAAGCAATATTGGCTGGGCGTACGTACATACGCTCCGGTTACACTGTATGGAGCCTAGCCAGTTCAGGTCAGGTTGGGGAGTATATACTCATACTTGTATACAAGTAGTCTGTGGGCTCATTTGGCCCTTGGTCTGTGATGGAAAAGAAGGAAGCTCGGAGGGAATCGTTGCAGAGAGGAAGAGGGAGCAGTTCATAGACTGGAACATGATAAGAACGTTTTCTGGACTGCAAGGCAATTGATTGGATTGGAATGGGGGTATCTCGGCAGCCCCGCTCCGCGCGTCAAAGTCGATTTCTTTCTTTTCAAAGGAAACCTAAATTGCCCTCCTTTCATTTGGGGCTTTCTTTTTTGGTGTTGGCGCGCCAATGCTGCCCTGCTGCAATGCGCGTAGTGCAAAGCCAATAAGGGAATAGTGCTGCATCTGTAACGGAGTTACATACATAGCCTCCAGGGTTAGACACTCAGCTTGTTCTTTTCCTTCCTAGAGAATCAAGGTGCGATAGAGCGTACATGTATGTATGTATATAGGTATACGTATGCATGTATACTGGCGGAGTGCGTCTGTCATGACCGCGTCACGAGTGCTGATCATCAGCCAGCCAGTCTACGCCAACATACGGTAGAGAGCTAAACTGAGGGGAAGTGAGCTACTGGGCGAGAAATATGAGATGGGATGGGATGGGTTATGGAAGAAGAGTGTCCTCCTGCCGAGAGCATCTACTTCATCGCCACCACTCTCCCAGCAATCCCCACCCCACCCATTCCACAAGTCTCACCTCGCCTCGCGTCGCCTCACCACCATAACCCTCTCTCATTGGGGCCTCCATCTGGATTCCGGGCTGGCCTCTCCCCCTTTCAAGCGCTCCCAGCGAACAGACTTGGCGGGCGATTGGCGTCGAGGTCTTGGGACGCCGGCCTTGGTCGATCGTGCGCATCCCAGTCTGAGCAACACCCCACCCAGCCCGCCAGCTCATAATCGCTCGCTCACCCGCTTTTCCATCCGAACACGATCTCATCCACTTCAAAGGGTTCCGTATGCGTCCCACAGTCAGAGCTCGGCGGGTACATATAGCAGCAGCAGCATAGCAAGATGGCACGCCCAGGCTCAGATGGCCCTCCGGCCATCGACAACAACTGGCACTTTTCCGCATGGGGGAACCAACCAGACCAAACAGCAGACTCCCGGTCACAGCCCGTCGCCTCAACTTCCCTTCAACAACACCCTCCTCCTCCCCAGCATCCTCATTTCCTCCCCCCCTTTACAGGGGGCAGCAATAGCATGCATGCATCCCCACTAAGCACCAGTCCAGCCGGTGTGGAGCCGGCGGCCAAGCTTCCCCCTAGCGCCTTCCACGCTAGCTATGCGTCAAACGACCCCGAAGCCTTCATCAGCGACGCCGCACAGGACAGTGGCAGACCCAACTCCTCTTCCTCTGCACAGCGGTTCGGGTCGAGCACTGACATGACTGCTGTCGACGGTGCCAGTTGGAGCCAACCGCAGCCGCAGCATCCTCCACCGCCCACCGTGTCCGTCGCGGCGCCAGCCTCGCGAGCGCAACCGCATGCCTTTGTCCCCGACCCGAAGGTCGCCGGCGGCCTTCGGCCGCTGGTCGACAACACGGGCGTGCCGATCACCAGGAAGCTTCCGCCCAGCTGCGATGTTTGCAGGGCGCGCAAGGTCAGGTGCAAGCGCCAGATGGACCCGACAGCGGCCGATCAGCGGTGAGTCGTCCGAAAGCGCTTGCAACGGGCTACAAGTCCCGCTGCTGATCGCTGTCGATGGCCTTGCTCTTTTTTTGCTCCCTCCAAACAGGTGCCAGCTCTGCCGCACGCAGGACTGCGCCTGTCTGTACGAATATATTCCAAAGCGGCCCGGCCCCCGGCAGCGGCGCACGGCCTCCTTCTCCTCGTCAACGTCGCCGTCAGCGGTATCTTTGCGGCGCGCGAGCCCATCCGGCGGTGCGCCGGCGCCTCCACCGCGCTCCTCCTCGCACCGCCGCTCCGACCGCGGTAGCGGTGCGCTGGGTGGCGGCCCCGCTGGCCTGGCGGGCTTCAGTGCGTCGCTTTCATCAAGCGCCGCCAGCTCGCGCAGTGCCAGCAGCATCCGCAGCGTCGGCTCCAGCACGCACACCAGCAGCTCCTATGGTGGTGGCTTTGACCCACAGTTCACCCCCGCCGGTGGCGCACCAGGTAGCCACAGCCCGGCGGCGAGTCTGCTGAGCATCGGCAGCAGCATCAGCAGCTTCAGCTCCGGCAGCAGCGTTGATGCCGGCATCAGCTGGACCTCCCACTCAAAGTCCAACGCTAGCAGCGGGCTCGAAACGCCGCAGGACTGGCTCGGTACGGGCGTCGGCTCTGGCGTCGGTGGAACAGCAGGGGTTACCGGTTTCAATGGAGGCATGACTGCGCTCATGCATGGCGTCGGCGGCGGCGCAGCGAGCTATCCTTCCAGCGCAGCGAGCGAGAGCAGCAGCACCACACGCACTTCAGCCCACCGTACCTGTGGGCCGCGCAAGGCTCGGCGCCCGCGCAATTAGAGCCCAGTGGCAGCAGCAGCGGCGCTGACGATGACGATGTCGATTATCATCAGCCCGACGGCCACCCGCTCTCGGCGCCCCTCGTGTCCGCCGCGTCACATTTTGAAGGACTCCAGCTCGACGCGCAGCACCACTCCTGGACTGCTGGAAGGGGGGGCGGGGACGGGGACGGGGGCGAGGCCGGCGATGGTGGTGCCAGAAGCGGGGTACTTGGCGGAAGTGGGGGGAGCGGCATCGGGAGCGTCCCGGGCCCTGCCGCCTCGTCCAGCGGCGCGACGCCGCACCCGGCCCAGTCGACGTTGTCGCTGCTCTCCAACAGCTCGGACGCGCACACCATGCATGGCGGCCACATGGGCATGGTGTCCACTGAGACGCTCAGCGCTTCTATGCCCGTACATTACCACTATCTCCAGCAGCAGCAACAGCAGTCGCAAGGGATGGCCATGGGCGGCAGCGACGACTGTGGCGGCGGTGGGACGCACCCAGTCTTTGGAGCGTATCCGCCCCACGTCACTGCGAGCCACATCACGCAGGAGCGCGCAGACGACGCAACCGGCGTCGCGGGGCGTGGTGGTGGAAGCGCCGGCGCCGCGGGCCCAATGTACCCCACGTGGTTCAGCCCCATAGCTCCGTCGCACTTTGGCGAGAATGCACCCGACGACGGCCGCGGCGCACGCGCTGGCGACGGCGACGGGAAGGCAAAGTTGCAGCTGGCAAGGGAACACGCTTTTCTGCACGACACATCGTTGTCTCCCCGCTCCACCTTGCTCGTCGCTCACAGTGCAACGCCCGCGGTAACAGCAGCAGCAGCGCACGACGAGACGGGTGCAGACGGGCAGCAGCCATATGGCCCATCTTCCTCTTCCTCCTCGCTGCTCCCTCTCCACTTAGCCGGAGCGGTACTTGGCGCCCGGAGCCTCGACGATATCGGAAGCCGCGCGGGGTTCCAGCAGATCTTCCAAGCGTACAGCACACACCTATACCCGCTGCTTCCAATCGTGCGCATCAGCACTTTTTTCAGCGACCTCAAGAGCAGACGAGACGCGCGCGACCAGGACTGGTTCGCGTTCTCCCTCAGCCTCGGTGAGTGCTTGCAGCCGTCGCGGGCGCTCGCGGCGCGCTGCTCGATTCTCAGACCTCAGACTGACGCATTTGCGGCCATATATTCACACACATGCGTGTTGTGCGTCCGGGCTACGCAGCCGCGTATACCCTCGTGCAGGTCCCGTGCGCCGCTCTCGGCCTCTCGCCGGACTCGGCCAAGCTCATGCACGCCAAGCTCCACGCCACGTCGCAACTGCTGCAGTCACGCCGCTACGCACCCCTGTGCCATTTCCAACTGGCGTTGCTCTATTGCGACTATGTGAGTCTGCGTCTGCTTGGCCTTGGCCTTGTGTGCGTGGATAGAATCACGCCCGAAGCTTACCGCTCTTGCCAACGCTGCTGCAGATCTATTTATCCACGCTCGGTTATGACTCGGCTGCCAAGTCGCGTTTGGGCGAGGGCATCCACCTGCTCCCCGGTTTCTTTATGCAGGAGGAGCGCCGCCGCGCGCACATGTCCGGCGCCGAGCAACAGCGCGCGGCCATGCACGACGGCGAGCTATCCAAGCGACTTTTCTGCGCGTTCCTCGTCGCCGATCTGTTCAACTCGCTCCTGTATGACGAACAACTCTTCTTTAGGGAGGAGGACATCGGCAATGTTACGCCGCCCGCGGCGGCCGAAGATGACGCTCCTCCTTTGTTGTCACAGCACGGCTCGCCGGATGGAATGGGCAGCCTCTACGGTTACCAGATCGCGTGCAAGTTCATTCTCCTTTGTTATGAGCTGACGGTGTGCTGGCAGAGGGTAAGCACCTGCGCAGGAAGTTGGCGCGGCGGAGCGTCTTGTTTGGTGTGGACGTTTACTTATATATGCTTTCCCCTTCCCCAGGACCGGCGACGCAAGAATGCGACTGTACAAAGTGTGCACGAGATGCAAGAACGCCTGCACGTGCTCGAAAGGCGTCTGGCGAACATCCTGTCGGAGGTTTCCGAGGCCAAGAAGGGGCAGCCGCCAGCTGCAACAGACCGCAGCTCTTCGCTCCTGAGCCTCAAAGTCTACCACACCGTCCTGGAGGCGACGGCCAGGTACCTCCTGCAGAGCTACACCGCGCTCATCGTGTATACGCTGCGCGCTTGCAGAGGCGCGGGCCTCGACGTCAAGATTCCAGAGGAGAGCCAGCTTGTTGCGAGCGCCTCAGCGGCGGTCGTTCACATTTTCTCGTCGTTGCGGGAGTTGCCGCTGCAGCTCATCGCCGCGTGCGGCCAGCCGGCGCTGTCAGCGGCCAGGTTCCTGATCTCCAAATGTGAGTCTCTCTACCCCGCGGGAGCGCGCGCAAGGTGTGCAGTTTTCCTGACCTGTACGTTCTTACGTTGTTTCGTATTTTTCAATGACAGTGGTCACAAAGGTCCACGCGGACGACCCCCTCCACGGAGCCATATCCGAGTTCCACGCCCAGCTTCAGCATCTCGCAGGTCAATCTCAGGTCATCTAGGTTTGCAATCTATGCGGACGGGAATAGCCTCATCAAAGTTTTTTCCTTCGTTAATGGCACATCTTGGTGGACGGCGAGACGGGGCTTTTCTCATCTCATTGGCATCGTCATCATGGGTGAGATCCTGCTCTCCGTACCATCCAACCATCTTTTGCATCCCCATTGACATTCAACATTACCGGCATTCCAGCATCATCATATCAACATTTGGACAATCGAATTTCGCATGTTCTGTAGCATAGGGTATACTGGGCCAATACATTGCATCGTGGTGGAACTCCTGCAGATTGCTTTTGAGGAAGCTTGGTCAGCCCGTGGGTACGTCCGAGCCCATGATCGTGCACGCAAGGCTTAACAGGTCCAGGGTGATAGGTCCCTGTAAGTAATACTTGCAAAGGTGCAGAGGAGTACGGAAGGCCACTAGAATGCAGAAGTCAGCGGGTCCGCCCAAAATTGCCATAAGGAGAACCAGAATCGAAGCGCGAACACATGCCCAAGCGGAATGAATCATCAAGGTCGCCTACAAGTTGAAAAGCGATGCACAAAGGTAAGCGTGCCAGTTCTGGGGCATATATTGGCTTTTCAGGATAATGGCTCGGGAGAGATTGCGAATTGCGATGAGACTACTGTGTGAAGCCGCTGGCCCCTTGCGGTCTTCTGTCCCTTGCGGCCTTCCAGGCCTTCGTGTTTTCCTTGCATCTTTGCCAGTCGCCAGCACTTATAGTTTTGGATGGGAATGAAGAATCAGCTTCTTCGTTCTCGCCAACTTTAGCTTTCCGATCTTTATCTGCGAACGGTGAAACACATGCTCAACAATGAAGAGACGTTGTCGATGAATGGGAGGAATAAAATAGAAGTGGAGCCTTCCTTACATCCGCACGGCAAAGTAGAAAGTAGGTGAACTCGACTCTGTATCCAAACGCTTGTAAAGCCAATCTCCAAGGGAGCACGAGAGTTACTCTCACGAGAACTCATTGACGCCTTCTTTGCCAGGACCCAGGTAGATGCTGCAACCGGCTGGCTCGTTACGTTGTTCATCAGCTTGAAAGCACGAAGCGCGCAGGGCTAAAAGCGTGCTGTTGCAGAGATTTCTGCGCTTCCCTTGTGCTGTCCGTTTACGATGCCGACCGCGACATGCAGCGATGACGCGACGGCTTCCACGGGCGCAGCCAGTACGAGTAAGGTCACCCTCGACAACGTCAAGAAGCGCAAACGGGCGGAGCTTGAGACAGAGATATCGTGAGCAGCAGTATCCTTGGGTGCCCTGCAATAGAGACAAAGGTGTGCACGTGCTGACACATATCCTCTTGCCTTACGTGTGAACAGACGCGTGAAGAACGGCCCGCCATCACACGAGTCGCTGTTGCGCGAGTTCATTTTCCTTGTTGATCACTATGCGTCGACAAGGCCTGGTGGTCCGACTGTGCTACCTAGTGCCCCATTCATCTGCAGTGATGAAGAGGCTGCAAAGGCGTCGGAGGAGTATGGGCTATATAGGTGCGTCCAGCCCCATGCCTATGGTCCTCGTATTCTCTGTGCTGAACAACACATTCACATCACAGACATGGGAAGTCCATTACCACACGGACTATACCCTCGCTAGAGAAGCTGAAGAAAGAGTTTTCAGATTCACTGGGTGTACGGATACCAGACGACCTGCTGGAAATCGGGGAGGACCTCGGCTTCGAGCCGGAGCCAGAGACACAGGATAAGCAGGAAGCGCAAATGACGCAGGCGGTTCCAGAGACACAGGAGACGCAGTCTACCACCGTAGGAACAGCTACGCAGAGAGCATTGCAAACACAGTTGACCGCAATTACAGTCTCGCTCAAGGACACACAGGCGTCAAATCCTGCGAGCGAGGCGCACCCAGACGTGCAGGTGCAGTCTGAGAAAGAGCCACAACCGCAGGCGCAGGCTCATGCACAGCCGCAAGGAGATATACCGTCTAAAGCGGAGGAAAAGGCCTCTGCCGAAGCTTCAGCGAAACAAGAGTCGCAATTGCAGCCTGTTGCGGCAGGCCATCTATCCACCCAAAACGCTCCAAAATTGACGCCCCCAACATTTCACGTGCATCCTCCTCCTCCTCCTCAGCCACCTGTCGTTCTGCCTGGAAGCGATGTCCCTCCCGTTGAGGTCCCAGCGGCAATCAAGCTGCTGGCTCCAAACCCCCTATCCATCACCTATGCCTCCTCACTGCGGCCCTTACCCCCCGACCCGCATCGTCGTTTCACTGGCACGGGCGTGAGCGGTGGTGCAATTCACCACCGGGGACAACGCAAGCCGCCGCAGCTTTCAGGTCGCTCGGCATTAGCGGCAGCTGGGCCTGCAGGGACTGGACAGACGGATCTCTGGCGATGGTTTGTGCGTGCACGCGCCAGTCCCGGATCCGGTCTGGTCGGTAAGGCGGATAAATGCTTGATGACGTCGGACTGGAAGGTGGCGTACGTGGAGCAGCGCTTCATCCGTGCCATGATGCGCATCGAGAAGCTCAAGCAGGCGGGCGACTGGTCGTTCCGTCAGCCGAAGCGCCAGCGTGGGCCGGCGCCCAAGAAGGCGCATTGGGACTACGTGCTGGACGAGATGCGCTGGATGCAAACAGACTACAGAGAGGAGAGGAAATGGAAAATCGCTTGTGCGCATCAGATGGCACATGCTGTCTTTGCATGGCACCGGGCTGGATCGAAGCAGGCGAGACAGGCACTCTGTGTCAAAATCCGCGAACCTCAGCAGCAGAAGAAGGGTTCGGGCGGCGCCGAGCAAAGTACCGAGGAGCAGAGCGCAGATCAAGGAAAAGAAGTGGTCGGCGTCACAGGATCTGCAGCGTCAGAGCAAGCTAACGGCGCCCAAGGACCCGACTCTGGAAAGGACGCAGATCCAGCCATGGACATAGATTTGGAAGCGGATGTTGCAGGTGCGAATCAAGACGCAAAAGCAGATACCGCTGTGGACCCAGATGCTGATGCGGAAGGCGATGCGGATGCTGATGCTGATGGAGAAGCAGATGCAGATGCGGATGGAGAAGTTGATGCTGAAGGAGAGGAGGATGCCGACGGGGAGGTGGACGCAGATGGTGATGCAGATGATGTCGAGCGTGCACTGCAAGAGGGCGACACTCCAAAAGTCAAGATTGAAGTGGTCAATCAGCCTCGTGGAGCCGCAGATCCAATGCCAGCTCTCTCTGGCGTTGCGCCTGTCTCCAGTTATCAGCAGCAGTCTTGCTTTAAAGATTCTGTAGAAGGGATCAAGAGCGATGCGCAGACGCAGGATGCAACTCTCACCCGCGAAGCTCTACCCAGCTCGGTGGTCAACACTCTGCGTGCTCCCATCTTCTCGATGGACGTCGTATCGACTGTCATCTCGCCCACAGCGTTGCTTGAATCCGTATGCCCCCAAAATCTGGCTGCTGCGCTCAATATCAGCGAGGCCGAAGTGGAAAGCATTTTGGATCCCACAAATGTGGGTGTCTCTTCACTCTTCCCTGAGCTTCCACTGTTCACTGGGCCGACGCTGCCACAAGATGGCAAGCATGACCGACGCGTCGACGAAGGCTCATTCCAGCAGACTCCACGCCTGACTCATGTCACGCGACTCCTTGATTCTAAACCTCTGCTCGTTAGCACTCTGCGCCCTTCGGAGAACCGCGAGCAAGGTCAATGGCGCGAAGACGCGCCATGGTTCTTGGCAGCCCAACTTTCGGATCCTTATAAGGGTGTATCACCAGATTTGCTCGATGCACTGTTGCAGCCAGGCTCAGTCTTGTTCGCAAAGAAGTCGCACCGCGTCAAGGATGGAAGTGCGCTCAATCCCGACGCACATGCACCGGCTGGTCCAGCCAACCCGGAGGTGCGAGCTGCCCAATTCATCTGGTCTCCAGAAGAGGACAGTTACATTGTCATGCTCGCCAAAGAGTATAGCTGCAACTGGTCGCTTGTCGCAGACCTGTTCAACGCCACCAGGCTTGCAGTGCCGACGGACCGCCGCGTTCCATGGGACATATACGACAGGTACAAGCGCATTCAACAGGCAGCGCGTGAGGGCACTTCCATTACACCACAGACGCAGCTGCCGCTAGAGATCGTCGGCGGCGAGGATGGCACGAGCATTCCGCCCGGAAATACGCTCATCGCAAAGCGGGAGCGCATCAATAAGCGTGTCAGTGCCAAATTTGAAGGCAGTCGCAAGAAGCTTCGCCGTTTTAGTTTGGTCGAACTCATGCGGAAGAGTGCAAGGAAGCGAGACGCAGCACCCAAACCGAGCACGCAGATGACGCGCAAGATCAATTTGAGTTCGCATGAGACGCATGCTCAGATCAAAGGCGGCCCTGTGGCCACACCGCAGCAACTCAGCAATCTCAAGGCTGAACGAGATCAGCAGACCATCAGACTGTACTATGAACAGCAGCGCGTCGCGCAGCTCGCATATCAGCAGCAACAAGCTCGTTTGCAGCAGCAGGTGCAAGTTCAGCAAGCAGCACAGTCACAGCCGCCGCCGCAGCAACAGCAACACCAACAACAGCAACAGCAACAGCAACAGCAACAGCAACAGCAACAGCAACA